CAAGTTTTGATACGCTCAGTATCCACAGGGCCTATACCCAGTGACAGAAGCACCATGCTAGTTGCAGAGGATGATACCAAGAAACCTGACTCAAGGTCGCCCTTAGTCCCAGCCTCAAATACAGCCCCATCCAGTGTGTCCTTTTGCTTTCTCCCATTTCTATACCAGTTCATCTTCCCTATCACTGTTTATCTTTAGGGAGGACAGACTGTTCCAGGATGTGACCACTGCCTGACCAGTAAGCTGGACCTGGGCCAGAATGGGGAGTGCTTCTCACAACCCTCCCACCCACCTTGGAAACTGTCTGATCCTAATTGATGTTTGTTACATCATAAACCAGGAACCTTCCCCTACTTTGCACTACTGGTTCCTAGAACAAGGCCATTGTCCTGAGCTGGACAAATGTGTAAAGTAATTCACTGTAAGTAGTAGCATTCACATTTGAGTACCCGTTACCATCCACCCCTTTATCCCATGTAATTTTTTGGTGCCCGTCAAATGGTGTGGGGATCCATTTCATTTTACGGCCACCCAACACGTGCCTCCTATGTAAGTTTCCCTCGATAAATTCCATTAATTACGAGACTGAAGTGGCCAGCCTCTTTCTTTAGTCTTTTCCTGTCCTCTGCTCACAGAGAAGATTTTCAGTCCTGTGACTTTTTCCCTGGGTCTGTGTATACTGACAATATTCCCTTCCAAATCTCTCCTTGGTGCTTTTCAGAACACCAGCTTTGTCTACCAACACCCCTGCTTCTTCTGACTTTCTGTCCTAGCTTTAACTGAAATTTAAGAAAATTGCTTTGTGTGTAGCCCTCCTGAGAAAAGAGTACAAATTTTCCCTCACCTCCGCTTTCATAGTCAAGGAGCCAGTGTTAATATTCTGCTTCCAGCCTGCTATCATCACTGTCACTAGTTGCCATCTACTAACCTCCTTCCTGCTCATCAGCACCCCTGACCCCACCCATGTTGAGGACTTTGCTACCACAATCTTGTCTCTTCACTGATTTTAGCATCTTTGTAGAAAACCTTTTTATTCTTTTTTTATTAAAAGATTTTATTTATTTACTATTAGAGAAAAGGGAAGAGTGTGAGAAAGAGAAGAAGAGAAATGCACTGTGCAAGAGATATATTGATTATTGTCTCTCCCACACTCCCTACTGGGGACCTGGCCCACAACCTTGCATGTGCCCTGAGGGGGAATCCAACCAGTGACCCTTCGGCTCACAGGCCAGCACTCAATCCACTGGGCCACACCAGCCAGGGCAAAAACCTTTTTATTCTTTATGATCTCACTCAGGATAGTTTGACCTCTGAAACCTTAAACTTCCATACTCTCCTCTTGGATCCTTGCATCCTTTTAATTTTTATACTCCTTTATCTTTTTACTCTTCCTGGTTCACCAAATAACAAGACTCCTCCAGTTTTAACTTTCTTTCCTATCCAGCCTAGTCCATAGGCACTTCATTCTCTTGCCAAAAATCTTAATCCCTCTCTCTACTGTCCCCCTTGTTACACCATCCTGGCTAAATTCCAACCACAGGTAAATTCAGTGATTATCTCCTTTCTGCACTGCACCTGCACCCTGGCTGCTCAGTGTCGCTGGAGAGGACGGTGTGCCTGCCCACATAGCTCACTGCTCACTGCTTCTTGTGTACCCCAGCTGTGCCCTCTTCAGTGCTCAGCACCACTCTGTCATCTTCTCAGCCACCTCAGCAGCTATTTCAAATTTCACCACTCTTCTTAAATTCACATCCTCGTCTCTCTTCTTATCAGATGACCTCACTATCAGCCAAAACTACCTCAATGCCCTGTCCCCAACCAACAAATTAATTTTTCTTTATACTTCCTTTTTTCTCCTCTATTTTAAAAGTATTCTTGCTCCAGTCAAGGGGCAATTCAATTTACCTGTTCACTAAAATACACCTCCTCAAGACAATGCTCTGCTCATTTGCCTTCACTTCCTGTGTTTGCAACAACGTATTCCCATTGGTTTCTTCTCCTCAGCATGTGAACAAATATGCTCAGTCCTTCCTTGGTCCTGGTGTTCATCCCTAGAAGTCGTCTTGGCTTCCACCCTCACCTTACCAACAACTTCCTAGTATTGCCAAACTCCAAGGCATGTTTCTTAATTCCTTCCTTCCTTCCTTCCTTCCTTCCTTCCTTCCTTCCTTCCTCCCACCCTCCCTCCCTCCCTCCCTCCATTCCTTTAATAGATTTGACAGTAAAAAAGAGGGAGAGAGAAAGAGAGAGAGAAAGAGAAACACTGATTTCTTGTTCCACTTATCTATGAATTCATTGGTTGGTTCTTGTATGTGCCCTCACTGGGGACTGAACCTGCAACCTTAGCATATTAGAATGACATTCTTGGCATATCAGGACTGAGTTACCCAGCCAAGACCTCCTAGGCACTTTTCAATCCAGATATTCGGTAATCTCTTTATAATAATAATGTAATCTCTTTATAATAAGTGGTCTCTCCATATTGAATTCTCTCCTCCTGCAGGTTTTGTGTTCCCATTATCTGCTGGTTCACCTTTGACATTTCTGGTCACTCTCTGTGCCTCTTTTTCCTTTACCTGCTCCTCAAACAGAATGCGCTCTTAATGCTCAGTTGTTGGCTTCATCCTTGTGATAGTAAGGATGAACTTTCCTGGGCAAAGCTAACCCACATCGTTTATATTCCAACAATCTTTAAATCATTATGTCTAGCCCAGACCTCTATCCATATATTACCTGTTTGAAGGATAGCTCCACTTAGAGGTCCGCTAAGGACTTCAACTTAGTATGTCCAAGACCAAATTTATCATTTCTACCCCATCCCACCCTGAACTCCACTGCCTTCTCCCTATTCTCTCTACCACCAATTCTTCCCTCCTCTTTTAACTACCACACCCATGTTTCTCTTCTAAGTATCCCCACCTCCCTCCCTTCTCCAGCTCAACTGCCATTTTCTAGGTCAGACTGTCACTCTGTGCCTGACCACTGCAACAGTGTCTACCAACTTTCCTAACCAGGCCACATATCCTCCAGTGTCTCATCCACACCATTGCCAGAGGAATTTTCTAACTTGTGATATGATTATCTCATTCCTCTGCTTCAAATTTTTCAGTGCTTCCTGACCTCCTACAAGATAATATAAACTCCTCTTCATGAGCGACACAGTGTTAGGTCACATATGGGTTCTGATTTCTTGTTCAACCTCATCTCTTACAACTCCCCCCTCATACTTATATCCCAGGAATACTCAAGAACTCAGTTTCCAAGGTACATCATATATAGTGCTAGCATCTCTGCACTGCCTGCTCATAGTAAATTCTTGTCTCAAACTCTTCTTCTGAAAGACTTCCCTAGCCTTCACAATCTTAACCACGTGGACAGAGGGCCTTCCTCTCTAGTATTCTCATAAACTGTCTATACATGCCTCTTAAAGCAATTTTTAATTTTCTACTATAGTTGTTTGAATGCCTGCCTTCTACATTATTAGCAATTTATGGGAAAGGTTGCGATTGCCTCCCCATGGTGGGCACTTGAATACTATATTCCTTGATCCTGAGGTATGAGGAATGTGCCGTCTACTTAGGGAGAGCGGTTATGTTGCTCACAGCAAAAGTCAAGTAAAAATACACTGCAGTATAAATCACTACAGTAGCAATTCTTAAACTTTGCCTCCACGTTAGAATTACCTTGGGAGCATTAAAAAATTTCAAAGTCCACACTACACCCCAGACCAGTGAAACCACAATCTGTGGTGATGGAACCCAGGCATCAATATGTTTTAAAGTTCCACATGAGATTCTAATGTGCAGCAAGTGTAGGAAACACTGCTGACAGAAAGGACAGTTAAGAAAAACTTTAGGGAGGTCCAGTTTGAGCTAGTTCATTGGTTTTCAAGCGATTCAAGCTGTAAGATGTCTGGAAGTTATAGCATACTCCCCGACATAGAGCATGTCACCTCTCTCTGTCTCTCTGTCTCTCTGTCTCCAGTGCCCTCACCCATGTTACTCCTACTGCACAAAATACCCACACTTCTTCACTGGGTGACTTCTACTTCACTCAAACCCTTCCTCCTAACCTTCCCCAGCAGGAACAGGGGCTTCTTCCACAATCCTCCCACTAAACGTTGCATACATTCTTTTTAAAGCAAGAGTATATGAGCTAAGTCTCTGTAAGTTACACTACCAATTTAATAACAGCTTTGAAGTTATAAAAAAATTGTACTAAATTAAAAGCATGTATATGTGTTTATTCTCTGACTTCAGAAAAGTTAAAATAAAGACAAAGTCAGGCTTAGAATCAAGGAAATACAGTATGTTTTATATTCCCATATGAACCAAATGCAATTTTACTATCAGAGCAAAAATGTGACTATACTCTATATTTTGTTTTAAAAATAACATTTGCCCTGGCTGGTGTGGCTCAGTGGACTGAGTGCCAGCCTGCAAACCAAAGGTCACCAGTTTGATTCCCAGTCTAGGCCACATGCCTGGGTTGCGGGCCAGGTCCCAGTAGGGGGCATGTGAAAGGCAATTATACATTGATGTTTCTCTCCCTCTCTCTCACCCTTCCTCTCTCTAAAAATAAATAAAATCTTAAAGAAAAATACAAATAACATTGGTGTATGTTTCACCATAACAAATTTGATTATACTCTTAGGATAATTTGAACATTTAAAAAATTCAAGTCATAAACTACCTGAAAAATATTACAAAGTTCCCCAAAAATCAGGCGGAAAGAAATTATCATATATTAATGGCATATATATTGAAAATAATGAATTTCAGCCCTGGCTGGTGTGGCTTAGTGGATTGACTGTGGGCCTGTGAACCAAAAGGTTGCTGATTTGATTCCCAGTCAGGGCACATGCCTGGGTTGCAGGCCAGGTTCCCAGTAGGGGGCACTCAAGAGGCAACCACACACTGATGTTTCTCTCCCTCTCTTTCTCCCTTCCCCTCTGTCTAAAAATAAATAAAATCTTTAAAAATAATAATGAATTTACTTACCTGAGTAGTGAATAAGGTTGTGTTTGAAAGATCAATAAATCATTACAGTGACCCTAATCAACATAAAAAGGAGTTGTCAACATTTTTTATAAAAATAATGCCAAAGAAAAAGCTGGGGGGCAGGGAGAGTGGGTGTGGGAGGTGAAGGGTGGGTAGGGTAGGGGACAGCAATGGGGGAAAAATGGAGACAACAGTAATTGAACAATAAAAAATTTAAAAATAAAAATAACCATTAATATTAAATATTTTATTTTATAAATGTAAAAGAAATTATATAAAGCTGCAAATAAATCTCTCTGGGTATGGACACACATACACACATGCACATACAAACATACACATACATACAGATATCTACGTACACACAAATTTTAGAAACGTGGTTCCTATATTTTCAGTGACCCAGTTTTTACCTAACCACAATCTATATAACCACAAATTTAAAAATCAGAAACATGTTTTTCTCTTAGAACAGTAAGTTTACAATGACGATGTAGTGGTTTTCAAACTTTTTTTTTTAAGCAGAACTTTTTTCATCCAAATTACTCTTATTTTTAGATCTTCTCTTTATCCCATCTCCCTTTTCCAGGTGGTCCCAGTGTAACAGGGTGCAGCCAGGAGCCCCCCAATAGGGATTTGTAATGGGGTCCAGAACTCAGGCTGTCCAGGAAATATTAAAAAAAAGACAGGATGTCCTTACCCCCACAAGTCTGAACTAGGGGATGGGACATATGGAGCAGGGCCATTGAGAGTTGATCTGCATAACAACAGTTTTGCAAATAACCTCAGGTATGGTCATTTAACATATCCGTAAGTCTTAACTGGTTTCATGGGTATGTTCAGCTGCTGTGCCAGGGCTTTAAGCCAGGGAGATGGGAGTGACTTTCACCCAGGATGTAACTGGGAGGCAGCTCCCGCCGGTTACAGGGCCTGCATGAGAGCTTGGAGATGATTGGCTCCACACCACAAGGCCACACCTGCCTGAACTTACTACGGCAGCCCAGAAAAGCTGGAAAAACACAGGAATGCTGGCAGGTGTAGCCAATTGTGGGAGGGATCAGAAATGGGGCTGCAGAGGAAGACCGGTGCTGGGATTTAAACCCAGGCATGGCAGCCATGCTAGAAGAGAACCACACGGCTTTGGGGCTCCCTTTGCCACACAGCTTAGGAAGCTGGGAAGCAAGATGTAGCAGCGATGCAGAACTCTCTCAGCAGTTTGGAAGAATGCAGGAGAGACGCTGTGGGAAGGAAAGGGGTGAAAGGGCTCTTGCTGGTGAGCCAAAAGAAGGTGCCATGTGGGTTTGGATTAAGAACTGGAGATCCCAGTGACATAGCTGATGGTGCTGGGAACCAAGAGAGGCCTGCCAGCTGAGCAAGGATTACTGGGAAGAACCAGGGGCTACCTGAGCCATGGACTTCTATTTCTTTTCCTGAGATATGGTACCCAGGAGTGGGTAAAGGGGAAGGAAGGACTGTGTGTGTTTGTGGGTGTTTTAAGGGACTTTCGGATCTTAATGAAGACATTGTCATTATTCCTAAGTCTGTATAACTTTTGAATAAATAATTACTTTCCTTTTCACCAGTCTCTAGCATTGAGAGCTATAATTCCCTGGCACTAGGCAAGGCGAACCTAGTACAGGGGGATCCTGGGAGAAAGGGGGGGTCCATTAGGTTATTGTATTTTGTCCCCCCACCCTCCATGGGTCCGTTGTGTAACACCAGGACTTTCTGAGAATTCTTCATTTGAAAATCACAGGTCTAAAAGATTTTTTGAATACGATTTTCTCATTTGAAAATTAATGTGGAAGAATCAGCAGAAAATTTCCCTAATCCTTTCAAATAGGTCTTTAGAATTTCATAATTTATGATCATGATTTTAATCAGAATTCCTATTTCAATGATAAAATTTGTGTCCTAAGTGAAGACTTCTAGTGCCCAGAAAAAGATGAACCACTAAATTTGCTTCTTAATTAAATGCAAAGTTGTGGTTTTCATCTTTTATTGAAGCACTGCATTCTCAGCCAAAGTAAGTTCTGAAACTTTCAGTATATATAACTTTTAAATTTAAGGCTTCAGGACTATGAAATAAACCAGTTACCTAGAGAGAAGCTACCTATTTCAGGGTTTGCCAGGCTATTCCATAGGAGCAACTTTGGAAATAACTACACCCAAGGAGATGAAAGGGAATGGGCCCCTCCTTGGCTGGACCCTGGCTTGTTGTACCACCACCTCCACGGAGGCTCAGTCCTGCTGTGCCTAAGTGTTCATCCAACCACAGCAACCAGTCCTGAAATCCTGTCCCATCACATCCAAAAAAGGAGGGTGGCCACCCTGCTCTGAATTTCCCAAGGTGCTAGGAGTGAAAGAACAATACCCTCCAAATGCTACCCATTTATTCCTTTGACCTTAGTTTTATCAGATTTTAAAACAAATGCTTTCATGCAAGTGTAAAACAGGTGAAGCAGTGGCAAAAGATGCACATAATAAAAGAAAATACACTAAGCATTTCAAAGTAGTTTCCTCTTGAGGAAAAAAGCTAGCATTAATGATGTTCTAGTTATTGTTAGGTAGCAAAATTCATAAGCACTTTTTACACTAAGTATTTTACATATACATCATATATTCTTTTTATGTATCAATTATTTCAATAAAATTATAAACACCCATATCATGGGAAACATCAGAGAAACAATGAAAAGCCATCCTTTGAAGCCTTTTCTTAATAACTTGACTAATAAAGTTAATAGACCTATTTTGATTTGCAAACCTAAGATCCTGAAATACTTCACAAAAGCCACTTACTCTGAAGATTAGTCACACCACAGAATAATATTTCATGCCTTTCCATATTTTGCAATGTAGGGATACTAACATTCTTATTGAACAACCATTTAGGCTGAATAACACAATTAGAGGAAATATTTAGATAAGAAATTTTCTTACTGTATCCAAGGAAAGTAAATCATCTTTGCTCCCACCAAATACCATTATTTCATTTTCTTTTCCCAAACAGGCAGTGTGCCATAACCTATGATTGAAAAGTATAAACAGTGAAATACTATCAAAGAAGAAACTATATCACAGATAAATATCTTCAATTGAACAGTCTAAAATGTAATCTATTTCAAAAGGCATTATCAAACTCCAAATTTTGGCATATTCTCAAAGAAGACAGATTTTAAAGATCCTTCTAGGATCATCAGAGAATTAGATTTTAGAGCTCATTAAGTCACATCATTTCAGTTAAGGAGATGATAATAACTTTCCCATTTTATCCCACAACTTTTTCTAATCTCTCTAACTTGGATATTAAAATAATTTATCACAAAAACATTTTAGGAAGAACTGATCAGCATAAATAGACACCTTTCCCATTTTCCTTATTACTATCTGCCATGTTCCTGTCCTCATTTTTGACTCCTGTTCCCTCTTCTCCCATCACCTGACAAGTCCAATTTGGAATTTTCTTTTTATTTACATCGTTACACTGCTTATCACTCTGGGTACAGAATACCACACATGTTCCTCATCTTTCTGTCTGTAATATCAGCTACATATTGATAAATATTTGTCAAATATTGTTTTTAACCATGGACACCTTCTGATCAAGATGTACCTGTGCCATTTTTCTTATCCTATATTTACAACCAAGAACTATTTCTGTTTCCCATAAAACTAAAATGAACTCTTGCTTCTCTCCAAATGAACCCTCCACTTCAGCAAACTTAATTTGCTTTTCCTAAGAGTAAAGCTTCCATCTGACTCTGTTCATTCAGTTTCCAAGTTTTAAAATGAGAAGTCATTCTTCCATGGCCTAAAAGAAAAACAGGCTCAAAATCCCCAAATGGAGCAAGGAGTCCTAGATCCATCCATACCAGGCCTCCAGCCCAGGATTCCAGTGCCAGGAAGATAAGTCCCCACAACTTCTGGTTGTGAAAACCAGTGGGGATTCAGTCTGTGGAGGAGGCTACTGGAGCCCTAAGCAGTTCCTCTTGGGGAACCCACACACAGACTCACCTATTCAGACTCACTCCCTCTGAGCTGCAGCACTGGGGTGGCAGCCTGAAGGGCACCAGTGGCACACAGGGAGAGATTGCAGTGTCTGGCATCAGGGCAAGCACAGCCCATTGTCCCTTTTCTGAGCCCTACCCCAACAAAACCAGTAGGCTGGTGCCCTATCTGAGATTATATCAACCTGGCTAACACTGTGTGACCCACCCTGGAGATCCACCCAATTTAGGGGTCCACACAAACTGCTTTGCCGTAAGAATGGCTGGTCTTGGCTCCTAAATCGTATCAAACAAGCAACAACTGGCTTCAGTGAGCCCTAGCAGCAGCCAGATTAGAGTCACAGTTTGGCTTCACCTGGGAATCTCCAAGCCCAGCACAAGTAGCAGCCATCTCAGATTGCTTTATAGTTCAGGCAGGGTGACCTGGGTAAAACACATGTGGGATTGGACCTTGGCTTGCACCACCTGGGAAACCCTGGGGCCAATGAATCCAGTGGACACCTAGAGACCAAGTCAGAGCACCACCACCCTGCTCCTGCACAGATGATCCTCCACAGGGGGTAGAGGTTGGTGGTCAGTGGTCACAGCCAGTCCTAACAGCTGACTGGCCTGGGTAAATCCCTCCCATTGGTCTCTCAACCGCAACCAAGGCTCAACTACAAGAGGAGAGTGTACTCAGACCATACAAAGGGCACACTTTGAATACCCAGCTTGGGTGATAGGGGAGGCTGTGCCACTGGAACCTACAAGACACCTACTACATTAGGCCATACTAGCAAGACACAGACTCAAAGGACTTCTACCTAATACATAGAAACAAACATAGGGAGGCTGCCAAAATGAGGAGACTAAGAAACATGGCCCAAATGAAAGAACAGATCAAAACTCTAGAAAGAGAACTAAACAAAATGGAGATAAGCAATCTATCAGATGCAGAGTTCAAAACACTGGTTATAAGGATGCTCAAGGAACTTAGCAAGGACCTCAGCAACATAAAAAAGACCCAGTCAAAAACAAAGGATACATTAATCAAAATAAAGAACAATTTACAGGGAAACAACAGGAGAATGGATGAAGCCAAGAATCAAATCAATGGTATGAAACATAAGGAAGCAAAACAACAACAACAACAACCATGCAGAACAAGAAAAAAAAAGAATCCAAAAAATGAGGATAGTATAAACCTCTGGGACAACTTTAAGAGGTCCAGCATTCACCTCATAGGGGTGCCAGATGAAGAATAGAAAGAGCAAGACATTAGAAATCTATCTGAAAAAATAGCACAAGACAACTTCCCTAATTTGGTGAAGAAACTAGACATGCAAGTCCAGAAAGCACAGAGAGACCCAATTATGATTGATGCAAAGAGACCCACTCAAAGACACATTATTAAAAGGCCAAAGGTTAAAGATAAAGATGGACTCTCAAAAGCAGCAAGAGAAAAGACGTTAGTTACTAGAAGTTTGCCAGATGGGAGACGGAGGAGGAGAATGGGTGATGAAGTGAGGGGATTAAGAAGTACAAATAGGTAGTTACAGAGTAGCCATGGGGCTGTAAAGTACAATGTAGGAAATGGAGGAGCCAAAGAACTTATATGCATGACTCATGGACATGAACAATGGTGGGAGGATTGCCTGAGGGAGTAGGGGGTGCTGGGTGAAGGGGAGCAAAGAGGGAAAGATCAGGACAACTGTAATAGCATAATCAATAATATATAATTAAAAAAAAATCCCCAAATGCTACCCGAACTGGCTGTCACCCTCTCTGTTTAGCACCTTTCAACATTTAAGTGCTCATTTTATAATCTAACTTATACTTGATGATAAACTGCTCTATATACTGCTTTAACTGTTTGATGTGTCTTTAGCTCCCCACAAAAAGATCTTTAAGGTGAAAAACTGCTGCACTGGTATGCTGGAACCAGTTAATTGACTAGTTAAAGCTGACTGTGCACCTCCATCCGACTCCATGTTCAATGACATCATGTTGGTAGCTTGAAACCAGCCATGGTGGAAATCAGCAAATGCTACATATTATGTCTTTTTTAAAATTTTGTTTTTCCTGGACAGCAGTGTTAACTGTTTACCAGCACATCACTGGAGCTTGGGTAATCTAATTATATGTTTCTCTTTAAAAATGCCTATTATGGTGTTCTGTATCCAGCAGGTGATCAAAAACTTTTGATTAACAAAAGCAAACACAAAATGCCATCATAATTTATTCAGAGATCAAATAAGCACATTATTTCATAAAGGAGTAGAGCATTTAACATTCTTTTGAAAATGGTCTGATAGCACAGATCCATTTCCAGTTTCACATTATTTACCAAGAATACTTTTATGGTTTTAAAAAGTTCAATATTTCTGAGGGCTTAAACTATCAGAATAAAAAATACACATAAATTTCTCAATTTTACAAAATAAATTGAGGGTTTACAAAGTCATTGCTTTAATTCTGAAAGTACTTTATTTCTCTTAACACATCAAATTGCTGAATCAACAAATTCCCCAAATAATTACATGTTATCACCTTTTATTACCACATAACTTATTTTTAGTACATTAATACTTTTTACTTAACTTCCACAAGTGCAAACAGTGATATTATGTACAGCTTCTTAAAGCCTTTCCTCAATCTTGATACATTCAATGACAAATGTACTTCGGACCCAGGATAGAAGTGAGTCATTAGAGACTCTGTTTGGGAAATACTCTGCCCAATTCTCCAGCTTGTGTGTTAGACCATAATGTGATATAAATCTTCAGCGACACCCAGATTATGTTTTGGGGTTGGAGTTGGGAACAAGAAGAGGGATTGGGTAGAAGAGATAGAATATGATGGAGTCCTCAGATATTGGAAGCTTAACTTATTGGAGAGAAGGTCAGGTAACCTTGGCAATGCTCATGGGATACAACTGTATCTAAGGCTCTATAGACCAACACCTTATTGACACCTTTTACAGATATTTAAGAAAGTTCTGTGCTGACAGCCACCTATACAAATGATCAGATATGAATATGTAGACAGCTTTTCAACCAAATATTGTTTTATCTAGTGAGACCTTTAGAGGAGGACGTAACGCTGTACAACAGTGGTTCTCAACCAGGGCCACTTCTGTCCCCAAGGGGACATTTGACAATATCTAGAGATATTTTTGATTGTCATAACTCCAGGTTGATGGGGGGTAGTACTACTGGCATCTAATGGGTAAAGGACAGAGATGTTATTAAACATCCTCCGATGCACAGGACACCCCTCACATTAAATAATTTGGTCCAAAATGTCAATAGTACAGAGGTTGAGAAACCTGATGTAGAATTACAAGAGGAGAATTGGGCAGCTTACATTTCAAATTATAACTTGGAAAAGTTTGCACAAAATTCATTTAGATGTTAAGTAAATTCTTACTTTCATAAAAAATTAGTATATACACACACATATATGTTCTCCTTACACTAAACTGTATCCCACCTGTTCTCCTCCTCACCTCATACCTGAAGATAGATCTGCCTCTGTCTTATCTGCCTTATGGAAACTCTGGCCTGGACTTCATCTTCGAAGAACACTGGAAAGCCTTTCCTGCCTTGATTTTGGTGACATCTAGTTTGCAACCTGATGTTCTTTCTACAGACTGACAGTTTATGTCCTCTCACAGCTGCTCTAAACTTATCACCTAAACATTCTAATAAAGCATATTATTTAGATGGCACATTAGTTAAATTTACAAAATCTCTTCACATAGCTCAGTTCTAACTAGTATATTAATGATCATAGTTGTGCTGCTTTAATTACTCATTAAGGGTTTAAATATAAAATAGCAATTAAAAAATTAAACATTCTTACTACCACTTTGGTCTATAATTAATGCATTCATACAATCAAACAACTGGAAGAGAACAAAGAGCTTATCTAGTCCAGCTCTCTTATTTCACAGATGAAAAAACAATGCTCAGTTTCGTAAGTAACTTTCCCAAAGCCAAAATGCTAAGTAGTAGCTGAGCAAGGACTAGAACTCTGGGCTCCTATATCTTAATATAAAACTCTTTAAATTAAAATATATATTAGAAAAAATACAGAATTACTAAAATAAAACATTCAAATGAATTTTTATACATGAAGATATAAGAATCATACATACAACTATGATAAACTTTAAATATATTATTCATAGTAATATAGGTATACACAATGATATATATATATATATATATAAATATTTTCAGGTATTTTTCTCAAGTTACTTGTCATATATTAAATTACTGAAATGTATGTTATTAAGTTGATTCACATTAGAATAAATATAGTAAAAAATCTAAAATACATGGCATGAAAAAGAATAAAATCTGTTACTAATTATAATAATTTAATGTGCCAAATCTGAATTTCCTATGAATATATCTTTATTACACAATTCAATCAAATTAGAAAAAATAAGATTTACAGTACTAATGTGGTTTTCTTTGTAGCCTAATAATAAATAGTACATCATTTCTGTAATTTTTGTAGAAAATTATACTCTACAAATACCAGAAATAATGTTTTCTTTTTAAAAAATTCACATAAATGAATATAAGTTAATAAACAAAAACAGTATTTGATTGACATGAAAGCAATTTCCCCATTAAACTGCTCTAAACCTCTTCCATAAACTACTACTATTAAAGCCAACCCCATTCACGTCTACTTATTAAAAAAGTAAAATTATATGTTACTATCAATTTTCATATTTATCAGGCAATATTATGCATTTACTTAAAAGGATAATACTTTCAAATATGCAAATATGGGTAGAAACTGAATAGATCATTTCTAACAATCAGATATCATTTAAATGATCATTAAATTATATCAGTAACATCAAGCTTACTTGAAAAAACATCTTTCCTGGTGATTTAAGGTTTTAATGGCAAACACTATAAATTAAGTACTATATTTTAATATTTAAAAAATTCTTGACTATTTTACTATTGTTTGTTAACTTCTAGACTTACCTGGGTCTTGTTTTAGGTAAATGTGTCAGTTGTTTCCAACAATTTGTTATGACATTATGAATCCAACCATCACCTGCAATATTATGCCAGTTCAAAAATTAAGGTTAGGTTCTTTGGGATAAAATTTTACATTTTTTTCCAAATTTGTCATGCTGTATTTACATAATAATGTTTTGTGTGTGTGTGTTTATTTTCTCATAAAAAATTCAGAGGTATGTAAAAGTAGAGTGAACATATTATTGAACCAACACATATCCCAGATTCAACAACTATAAAGATTTTGTCACATATGCTCCATTTAGCTCTCTTTATTATTGTTGTTGGCTGAGTTATTTTAAAGTAAATCCTACATCTCCAATCATTTCCCCCAGGCATACTTCAGTAAGCACTGCTTTAAAAAGAGGAAAATTTTTATATAACTACAACACTAGTGTACATAACTACAATGACATTATCACTGTGAACAAAACTAAGAATTATTTCTTAGAATTATCTAAAACACGTTATGTCCACATCTTAAGTAGAACCTATAAAGGAAGAAACTAACTGGACTAAGAGTTAAGACATTTGCAGATGGGTACTAGACTTATGGTGATCACTTTTTGTACACCTAAAACTAATATAATATTGTATATCAACTATAATTGAAAATAAGTTAATTTAAAATTAAAAATTAAAAAAACTTTAAGAGTTAGGACATTTAATTCCCCATAGGTCAATGGCCAAAATCAGCAAATAGGAATTAAAAACAGTAGCACTCATGAAGATATATTAACCCCTAGTGAAATGGATAAATGTTTTTTATTATATTTTAGTTTTTTATTATATTCCAAATCTCTTTTAATTACCCCCCCCCCCCAGAAATTGAAGCAGCATAATATTCTGCAAAAATTAATATCCCCTACTAGGAATTGCTGTTTCCAACCAACCTCTTGCATTCGTTTGCCAGCAGGCTGCCAGATACACCAGCTGATACTCAATAAATTTTTGTTGAAAAAAATAGTTTTTTCCAGATCCTATATGAGATTATAGAAATGACTTTAATGCTATAAAAGTTATCTTAATGAAAACATCTCTAGCCATAGAAAACTTTTGAGTTAAGAAAATGTAAAACATTTAGTATGTCAAACTAAGAAGCAAATGTTCTTGGTCATTTTTCTATCCTAATGATATAATTTTAATTCTAAAAGAAAAACTACATTTCAAAACCCATAGCCATTAGGACCAGCAATGACAGGAGTTAAAAAAATTCTAGCTAAGCACTTTCCTTTATAGTTTTGGAACAAAAAGAGGAGCAACAGGTCTTCCCACCTTATATTTCCAGAGCATTCTAGAAAAGGCTGCTCTTCTAATTCCCATTCCAGCCTACAGTATAAGCATCTGGATCAAAAGTTTGGAGGATGTGGAATCATAGACTATTTTAGTCAGAAGGGGCTTTAATTCACCTAGGTTCAACCACCCTTCCTTCTTTCTACACCTAGGAAACAGGAAAACAAGGAGAACCAGGAAGAACAAAAGCAAAAGGGTGGGTCTTCCATTTCTAATTTTCAATGCAAGCATATAGTTGGGGTTAAAATAAAGGTAAACCATAAAATCGAAACAAAGGAAGACACTTTAAGTATAAAATACAACTAAGAAAAAAATGAGGCATTCCAAGATGGTAGAGGAGTAGGTGGAAGTTACCTTCACCTGCTCTCAGCCAAAACCAGATTTATAGCTAAATTATAGAGCCATCAACCTGAATAACCAACAAAAGGCTAGCTGAACTGAAATATAACCAAGGGTTCAGAAAAGCCACACAGAGACTGGTAAGAAGGGCGGAGACATGAAAAGGGATAGCCCCTGCACCCAGGTACAGTGGTTGAGAAGCCAGAGGGATATTGCAGCTGCAAAACTCCCTCCCCCCAGAAGTGTGGGATCTCAGCCCTGCACAGGGATCCTCAACCCAGAGCAACAGAGACATGAAGAGGAGCCCACTTAGCATCTGGTAGTGAAAAATCAGTGAGGATTCTGTCCACCTGGGAGACCTAGATGCCACCTTCCCAGGGACAAGCACTCCTATTGTTACAGCACTGCCTGGTGTCTAACTGCTGGTGATGCCACTCTGCCATACTGGGATCCTGCACAGGGGGATTCGGGCTGCACCCAGCAATGATTTGGGGGGCCCTCTTTTTCTGGGGAGGCTCTTGGCAGAGACTCAGAGAGTGAATAAACTGTGTGGCTTTGGAAAGAGGGCCTGCCTCTCCCACCTCAAGTGCATTGCCAGTGCCCATCTCCCTCCTGTCGAATCACTTGGTTGGTTCTATTCTGCTGAGTTCAGCTGAGCAAGGGATTCAGAGTGCCATGCAGAGCTAGGATTTTCAAAGCACGTCTTCCAGGGAAGCTTTTCTCCAGGAACCAGACAGGTGGATCCTGGGGTGTGTGGCTACATGGCGAGGGATGGGGGCCAGTACTCTCTCACCTGTGAGCTCAGCCCATGTTACCCTGGGAAGGGGAAGAAGTGTCCTGCCCCCTCCTCCAGGTTTGCAGGCACAGCCCTCAACAGGAGACTCTTTGCATCAGCCCTGCCAAATCCCTGGTACCCTGCCCTGCTGGGCTCAGTTCCATGAAGGGAAAGGGAGAGAGGCTAAGAGCTGGGACATTCAGAGTGTGAGCCCTTTGGAGGTTGTTGTCTGGGACTGGGACTAAGTGCTTAGCCCCCTCCTGTGGGCTGGGCCAATATCATCCCCAATGGGAGACTTTTGATCTGTTCTCCTGAGCCTGGTGGCTCTTCCCAGCTGAGTAGATGGCTGGCTGCACACAACCTGAACCTACAGCCCATTGTGAAGGAACTAGAGTTGGAGACTCTGGCATAGACTGAGTGGTTTAGGCCACTTTCCCCTCATTGAGTGCCTGAATGTGTGACCCCAGGTAGGGAACCAACTAGCCCTGTCTGTTGCCCTGCCAGGCCAAGCTCACAACCTGTGGAAGGTCTGTGGATTGCATCCAGCTTGGGCCTACTCTATAGTCTTTCTTGTGAAAGCTCTGAAAGACCAGGCAACCTCAGTAGGAGGTGGAGAAGCCAACAAGTGCAGACAGACCTCAGGGAACCTAGGTTCTTTTACAGATCTGCCCCCAGTACTAAGCAGGAAAAATCCAACCACATACACAAACTGGGCCCTTGTATGCACACGAAAGACCAGCAGATGCAGGCACAAAGAGTAAACAGTGTGGTAGCTCCAGACAGGCAGCCCTAGGCCAATTACATATAATGACTGACATTGACCTGTACCTGAACCCTGCCCAAGTGGACCCAGAAGCAACACAACCAGCTATGGGTTTTAGACCATACCAGAGCTAGACCCCAGTAGTCACACAAGAGGCACACCCAAAGGGGGATTTCGCCAGGTGCCAGATTCTGCTAGGAACAGCGCTGCCTTGGTGGGGTGGCCCCTGGACATCATATGTGGTGATCGAGGTTTATCTTTCTACTAAACCATCCTGAAGGGTTAACTCCACCTATGAAAGGGCCAACAGCATTCAAGACTCAACCACAACAAAAAGGTGCACATAACCCACAAGGAACATTCCTGGAGTATGGAGATCAGGTGATCTAGAAGATTGGGCCACTGAACCCAACAAGATACCTTTATCAAAAAGTCATCATAACAAGTCTGGGAATCTAAGAGATCTACCTAATACACAAAGACAAAACAAAGAGAAGAAATATGACCCAAATGAAACAACAAGAGAAATCCCCAGAGAAAGAATTAAATGAAATGGAATCCACCAAAATACCAGATGCAGAGTTTAAAACAATGGTTATAAGGATGTTCAAGGACCTTACAGGAAGAATGGGTGATCTTAGAGAGAACTTAAAGAGATAATAAACATTAAAAAGGACATAGAAACCACAAAAAGAACCCATCCGAAATTAACAATACAATGTCTAAAGTGACGACTACATTAGAAGGAATCAACAACAGGTTAGATGAAGAATAGCACCAAATCAGCAATTTTGAGGACAAGATAATAGTATGCATTCAAGCACAGCATCAAAAAGAAAAGAGAATTTTAAAAAATGAAGAAAGTCTAAGAAACCTCTGGGACATCAAGCATAACAACATCCATATCACAAGGCTACCAGAAGGTAAAGAAAGTGATCAAGGGATGGAGAACCTGTTTGAAGAAATAATGACTAAAAACTTCCCTAAGCTGGTGAAGGAAAAAGTCACACAAGTTCAGGAAGCACCGGAGAGTGCCAATCAAGAACCCAAAGTGGCCCACACCAACACACATCACAATTAAAATGCCAAAGATTAAAAACAAACAGAGAATCTTAAAAGCAGCAAGGAAAAGCAATTAGTAACCTACAAAGGAGCTCCCAAAGGCTGTCACATGATTTCTCTACCAAAAAATTTCATGCCAGAAGGGACTGGCATAAAATAAGTCAGGGTGATGAGAAGCAAGGACCTACGACCGATACTATTCAGTCTAATAAGGCTATCATTTATAACTGAAGGCAAAATAAAGAGCTCCCTAGATAGAAAAACAAAAAACAAAACAAACAGAAACAACCTAAAGGAGTTCATTACCACCAAACCAGCATTTCAAGAAATGTTAAAGGGTCTGCTTTAAGAAGAAGAAAGAAAAAAGAAATTGAGAGAGAGAAGAATATAGGTATACAGAATAAAATGGCAATAAACATTGATAAGTATCTATCAATAATAACCTTATATATAAATGGATTACATGGTCCTGTCAAAAGACATGAGGTAGCTGGATGGATTAGTAAACAAGAACCACACATACGCTGCCTGCAAGAGACCCACCTCAGAAAAGATACACACATACTGAAAGTGAGGGATGGAAAAAATATTCCATGCAAATGGAAACAAACAAAAAAAAATAGCTGGGGTAGCAATATCTGTATCTGACAAAATAGACTATGAAACAAAAGCCACAACAGTGACAAAGAAGGTCATTACAGAATACCAAAGGGATCAACTGAACAAGAGGATATGCTATAACCCTTGTAAATATTTCCACACCAAATACAGAAGCACCTAAACATATAAAGAAAATCTTGGTGGA